TCTTCCGTTGCTATCAATGAATTCTTACTTCCAAGTTATCGTCCCCTCTGCCGAAAAGATCCCAGTATTTACATGCAAGGCCTTGGTGTCTACATCCGAATTCAAGATAATCTTCCGATGACCAGGGAATTGTCTCTCGAGGTTCATGACTACTCTTTCATCTGCTTCCGTCTTTTGTGACTAAACTATTAGCTATCTCTTTTTTCCTTTATCGCCCCTCCTCCTTCCCAGGACTGCAGTATATTAGACATATTAGCTGATAGTATAGAAAAGGCACTTTCTCTCCAGCCATCTGCGATCATCTTTGTCTTTAGAGACTTATTAAAGCAGCTGAAAAATTTTACAGGTACTGATGTTGCTGGTATTCAGACAATTAAATTTTTCCATTGCCCATTCCCTTACTCAAATCGTGAAATTTTCTACTCGTTTCCATAGCAAAACCGAGCATCAGCCATCTTTACTTGATTTATTTCTTACCTCCTCTCCTCGCTCTTTCCGAGCTACGTAACACTGCCTTCTTGGTAACTCTGATCACTCAGTGATATCCATTAATATTTCGGTTTAACAATCCAAATGTCCTATCCAGGTCTCTTTCCGTTACCATCATGCTGATTAGCACCCACTTCGTGATTTTCTTCGAGATGCCATTTGGACTGACATTTTTAACCTCTCAAATGAAAATTGCGCCACAGAGTTTTGTTCCTGGGTCAAAGCCTACATGGACGCTTTCATCCCTTCTCGGAAATACCAAGTGAAACCTCAATCCTCTCCATGGATAACACCAGCATACTCGGCCGGTATATCACACAGGAACCACTATTTTCGGTTATAACAGCGTGACAGCTCTCGTCACAATAGGCGCCTCTTCGTTACTGCTCTTAATAAATGTAAGCGTGTCCTCGAAGGACCTAGTACCTGTTTATTGAGAGAATAGCCCCCATCAACTTTGGCTCCCGTAATTACTGGCCTACCTGTAATAAGTGCGTGGTCTCTACTTCTCCTCAAATAATTTGAGGTGTTATCATCCTCTGCTGATAAAGCTGAATGCTTTGCCTGTAAATTCTCCTCAAACTCTACTCTTGACTCATCTGGAGTATCCCTGCCTGACTTCCCACTTAGAACTGAACCTTGAGTGATATGCATATAACCCCTCCCATGGTTTCTGCTATCATCTCTAATCTAGATCCACACAAAGCATACCGATGGTAATAGTCATTAAGAGATGTACTCCCGAACTGACTCCTGCTCTCTCTAAACTGTATAATAACTGCCTCCTGCTTTCTCGCCAGCTGGAAGTCATCTTCTGCTGTTCGAGTTTTTAAGAACTCTAGTGAACTATCCGACCCTTTCAACTATCGGCCTTCTGCCTCTTTTTGAGAAATTCTTAGCGGTTCTGTCAAGGCTGAATTGGTTCAGCATCTCTCATCGCAGAGCCTTTTCTCAGACAAGTCATATAGCTCTTTTCTCCATTTCAACTGCCGATAATTGCGGAAAGCGCCTATCATGCTCTAGATAAAAGCAGTGAAGCCTCGGCTGTAGCTTTGGACATCTCGAAAGCCTTTGACAGGGTTTTGGCATATAGGTCTTCTCCACAAGCTGAAATGCCCGTGTCCTACAGGACTTCATCCTTGGTCCTACCCTCTTTTTAATTTTCGTTAATGACCTTTCCGATGACATCAGCTCTCAACTTGACATTTACGCTGACAACACAACCATTTCTGCCTCGATAGTAACACTGATCAGTCTGACAAGGTCAAAATAGCAGCTGATGTCCAAAATGACCTCAAGTCCGTCGTTATCTGAGATAAAAGATGGCTTGGTAATTTTAACGCCTCCAAAACTAAACTTTCTTCATTAATCAACTGGGAGAATTGTGGCACCTTGCATTATTAGAAATATTCATAGAAATATGATTTAATTTTTTTTTTTTTTTACTCGGTTTATTAAACAGGTTGTTGATTTTTTTTTAAACGGAAAATAATTGAGTTGAAAATAATTCACTAAAGTTGTACTTAGACGATCCTAAGGAAAGAAGAAGGAAGGGAAAGAAAAGAGGAAGAAAAGGAAAAAAAAGGAAAGAGAGATGGATGATGCATGACCCGGTCATAAGCGAAGATAGGTGTCAGAAAGATATCTTGGCCTGCGTGTTGGCCGAATTTTAAAAGACAATAGAGAATTGTTATTTGAAATGAAAATCATTTAGAGGGAGAAAAGAACCAGGCTTGATGACAGTGTATTGGCGATTGATAAGAATATCGGTCAAAGCACCTAGCCTACTTTTTGCGTGGAAAGACTCATTGTCAAATTGGAGAAAGGGGAATTTCTTTTAGAACAATAGAAACGAAATTTTTTAATCGGAGAAAAAGTGTCTTTTGGGTTGAGGGGAGTGACCGGTGGAACTGTATACAGATTCTGACCTATTAAATTGGAAACCCACGATAATAAAGTGGGGACATTTTTCAATGTAGATAATTAAGATTTTCTGACTGTCGGGTCTGACAAAAACAAGAGGTGAAAAAACGATTGTCTCAGCTCACAGATGGCGCCAATATTCTTTCCTGAAGTCACATCTAATTAGCGGCAGGCTGTTTTGACAGAGCCCAGGGAGAAAAAAAGCCAAGATTGTCATTTTTTCGTACGTGCGAAAAGGGCAAAATTGGATTTTGTTTTTTTAAAACAAGAACGATGTAAACCACGCCCGAAAAGAGGAGAAAGGATGCTCGATCAATAACAATTGGTCGGAAACGGTCACGTGGCATACGGGAGAGAGGAGGAGAAATGCTCGATCAGGAATCATTGATCGAGAGCGGTCACCTGACATACGAGGGACCGGGGAAAGATGGGTGTGCGCCTCCCCACCAAAGGCACTGTGAGGAAGTAGGGGTGAAAACAATAGCGATAATGAGAAGACAGAAATAATGCGGCTATTGGAATTATTGAGAAACCCCTGACGCCAACAAACCCACCCCGTTTTGTTGCGGCGTCAATAAAAGCAGGACCCCAGTCGACAGAAATCAGTTGCAGCTGGACCGCGGGCAGGGATAGAGCCTGAACGCGGGCATCAGGCCCGATTCACTCGCCCCTTTGCGGGCAAGAGAATCCTCAGACAAGAAATCCTTCCAGCCCAAATCGAAGAAGAAGAAGATTGCTCGCAAGCCTCAGAGAAGTTGCAGCCAAGTCGAAGAAGAAGAAGATTGCTCGAAAGCCGCAGAGAAGTTACAGCCAAGTCGAAGATAAGAAGAAGAGCTGCAGGCCAGACAGGCCGAAGAATTGCAGGCAGACAAGAAGAAGAATTGCAGGCCAGACAGGCAGCAAGAGTTGTGGCAGAGTTACGGCAGAGTTACGGCACAGTTCAGCCCCGGACGGCAGCGAGAAGAGATCACCTCGGACGACAGAGAGTAGCGGCTGAGTTGCGGCAAGAAATCCTTCCACATAAGTCGAAACAAGAAATCCTTCCACCCAAGTCGAAGACAAGAGAAGTTCTATCTAAGTCGACGAAGAAGAAGAAATACAACTCAAGTCGAAGAGAAGAATCAACTGCGAATGATCGATAGAAATTAGCCCCAGTGTCGAACTAAACCACACTCCGACATACACAATTCTAAAGAGTAGGCAATTCGAAACCTTTAGGTTGTGTGATAGAAGCTTGGTGCCATAGTCCACAGAGCGGGTCGGGAAATAAGAACAATTTTTTCTTTATGTAACGGACATTAGATATAAAAGGTTGTCACCCTTTTTTTATCAGTAATTTTTTGTCTCGTGAGTTTTTTTTTTCTTTTACTTGTGTTTTGCCACCCCCGTCGGACTCAACTTGTATCGGCCCCAATCCCTGCTGGTCCCGTCTGTCTAAGATCTAAACACAACGTGGGTAGACAGACCGGAGATCAGTACAGTTGCTTCAGTAACCAGGTATTGGAAGCGAGTTGGGAAAGGCGAGGCTGGTGATCATCCAACCAAGGGGTTGGAGCGGCACGCTTGGAACCAGGAGGAGCGACCAGGAGGAACGACGTCACAGTTGGCGCCGTAACCAAGGGATTCGACCCTGGGCCAGGTGTGTAACCGTCACAGAATGGCTGATGCTAACCCCCAGGAAAGCGACTCGTTGCGCCTTCTCGGGCTAACGTTCTCAGCTGACATGAGGTGGAAAGAATACATTGAATCTATTGCTAGAACAGCTGCTAAGAAAGTCGGTGTGAAACAATTTTACACTCCAGAACCTATCTTACATATCTATCAATCTACCAATCGTCCACGCTTAGAATATTGCTGCCACTTATGATTCAGTGCCCCTGCTATTTACTTAGAGCTCCTTGATAAGATCAAAAGAAGAATCAGCAATATTATCAGTCCTCATTAGGCAGCTTGGTTTCAATCACTTTCCCACCGCACTAAGGTTGCATCCCTGTGGCTTTTCTATAAATACTTTCATTGTAATTGTTCAGATTAGCTCTTCTAATACCTAGACTTTGGAATTTAAGCGCAGTACTAGATCGGCGTCAAGATCTCATCAATTTACAGTTGATAGGGTCCTATTAGCCTTATTTATATCGAATCGTACCTTTACCAAGATTGGGAACCTCGATGTGGTGTAATGGTTATCAAATTTGTCTCAATAGGTCAATTACGACTGAATAGTGAGTTTGATACTCACTGGGTACCCCATACTTTCGGCCTTGTGCCACATCTAAGCTACGCTTTAAGAAGCATTTCCATTAGGTCACGTGGTGAAATGGTGAGCAAGCTTTTCTCGCTAGAACGATTACAACTGTACAGTGAGTTCGATCCTCAAAAGGCGACTCACTCTTTCGGCCTTGTGCTAATCTATGGCATATCTTTCCCAAGAATAGTTGCACGTAAATTAATGTGATGAGCTCAAATGGAATTCGAACTCAAATGGAATTTGAACTCGGTCCTCCGATTCCTCAATCCGAGCCGCTAACCATTACTCCACTTTGCCTCCTCCCCTTTTATAATATGGTTTTATACATTGGCACATATTAATGATTGAATTAGATCCTAGCAAGCATTCGGTGTATCCGTTGGTTTCATCGATACAAAACATCCTTTTCAACACTAGTTTTTCATCTGATTCGTAATTTGTGCCTAGCCTGATTTAAGTGCAACCGTAAGCTTATCTGTTTATACATATGCCTCTAAATTGATTTCTGTGATTGGATTACAATTGGACACGTGACTAACTTCGCTGAATTACATTTATAAGCACAACCAGAAGGAAGAGAAGACGTTGTTAAGAAGGAATCTTGAAGCAAAGGATCAACTTCTTTTTTTTTTTTTAAGCATATTTTCCTTTCTTCATTGGCCTTTCTCTTTTTCTCTTCACCGGTTCCTTTATTTACTTAGTATTTTTCATTACTTATTTCTTCCTTTTCCTTTTCTCTCTATTCGTTTTTTTTTTTTTTCATTTCTTATTTCTTCCTTTTCCTTTTCTCTCTATTCGTTTTTTCCCTATACCTTTCCAGACACACGCACAAACACACGAAGTTGGATCAATGAAGTACTGACAGTATTTTGATATGAAAATTTCATGAATTTTCTTTCTATGTGATTAATATTCATCAGTGAATTGAGTGCATTCACAAGGGAATTATTTTAAAAACCAAATATTTATATATGAATAAATTATTTTTTAATAATGGCTGTAGACATAAATGTACCTACGTGTGCTATATTATTAGTTGAAAGAAAGATTTGGGAAGATCTTCACTTCCGCTATAAGCAATGATGGTTAGTGACCCCGATATGAGAGAAGCGTACTTGAATTCTCTATCATCCATGCCATTTCTATCTCTCCCATGTCCTTTCTGTCTTTCTATCTCTCCCATGTCCTTTCTGTCTTTCTCTCTCCCATTATATATCTCTCATTTCCTATCTCTTTCACCCACTTTCTTAGTCGAGAAAGTAGGTTCTTAATTATATAGATGCTTACGTATATAACAAACTTTCTAAATCCAAAGATAAACCTTCTTTGACAGATCAGCTGAATTACGATTTAAAATCTTCGTTGTATATTTATAATTAATAAAGTTAATAATATCTATAATTAATAAAGAGATTACGTTGAAAATTATTTCGTGAGTTTTGTTTACAGTCTTGACCTATACATACATACATACGTACATACATACATACATATATATATATATATATATATATATATATATATATATATATATATATATATATATATATATATATATATATATATGTAGACTTTAATCGCAGAATTAGACTGGCATCAATTTACCGTAGAGCTGGCCAGATGTAGCCGTAAGTTCTATGCTAACAGTTTCTTTTCTCACTCGTGTAACTCCTTTCCGGTCGTATGCTTTCCAACCAACTTTTATCTGCAAAAATTTAAATGCAATGTCAATCGCTATCTGCTGTCCACCTGATTACTCTTCTGTTCTTGCTCGTCATTAATATTTTTTTTTTCTAATTTTTCTACACTCTGTAACCCCTTGTGTTTTAGTTGCATTATTGCCTTGCTTGATTGGGGTGATTCCAATTACATTAATATATATATATATATATATATATATATATATATATATATATATATATATATTAAAGTCCTTTACTTAAATATCTAATACCTCTGTACATTCGTTTTTTCTTTTTTACATTGCGCATTGAGAACTCAATTACATGACCGTTTTCTAGCTTTGACTAGAAAAAAACTATCTATCTATCTATCTATCTATCTATCTATATATATATATATATAAATATATAAAAACGATCTATCTATCTATCTATCTATCTATCTATATATATATATAAATACACACACACACATACACACACACATATATATATATATATATTTATACACGTTTCATTAAATAATATAGACAAGTGTTGTCTATTTATTTTATGTAAATTTTGTTCGTAACATCTGATAAGTTTGATAACATTATCATTAAACGAAGAAAGAAATTCACAATATTGATCCAAATTTTTTTTATATAATCTAAGCTTTCGGCTTACTTAAGCCATTATCAAAGATGTAAATTACAAACATTTTAAACAATATAAGGACACGACAGTGATGATAGTCTGTCATTGTTTACATAGTTGATCACTAAGCAACGATAAACACGCGCATATAAGACGCTAGAAGCGAAAATCGCACCGCATCTCATGACGTCACACATGACCACACGAGAGTGAATTGGAGAATGAAGTATGGAAAGACGTTGGTATGAACCAATTATAGACATTTAAGAATATTTGTAGAGATGCCATAATTGATTTTGTTTAGGTTGGGTTTTAACTGTTTGATGTATAATGCTTCAAGTATTTTTAGTTTTTGTCTATTGTTTTCATGTCGAAGTATAGTTGTGTTTTCGACAAGTATTTTACGGAATTGTGTGTGCGGGCAGGCATGTTGTTTTAAATGCCTAAAAATATACAAATATATACGCACATTGAAGTCAATACCCATACGCGAGTTTGTTTCATGCCTGACGATTGCGTTCAAGCATGAAACACACTATCGCCTCTGGGTGTTGTCTTCAAGCTCCATTTTTATATTTACATACGCTCTATCCCCGATATTGAGCACTTTTAACCCATGAATATAGCATACGATAAAACCATATATTTGATCATATATTCATACATATATATAAGTGGTGACAAGCACGTGTATTGAGATTATGTATATGACTAATATATAAAAAAAACGATATATTCATAATATATAAAACCAACACGCCAATACTAAATCTTAGCTTACGTGTGCGTGTGTCTGTGTCTGTGTTTGCGTGTGTAACGAAGAAAGAGTACTGAAGTTGAACCCAGTGATTCATTCATACTCAAATTCGAATCAGCAAGCAATGTTCAATCGATCGATGATTGAGAGGCGAAGAACCCGGCAGTACAAGGACGTTTGTACACGAAATCAATCGGGTGAGATCAATAGCATGAGGTCATCCTGATCCACGCATTCCGAGATTAAAGGCCATTTTCTTCTATGATGTTCGGGAAGGGGGCGGAAAGGTGCAAGAAAATACCATTGATTACACGTTTTACTAATGATGTTCTCGAAAAGATGCAGGTATCTCATTTGCTTTTGAAAGCCCTATCAATGACTATTGATCCGAAAGCCCCTGATTTACATTATTTCCCCTCTCACTGACACAGACACAACCCCTCTCACTCTAAGCTGTCATTTTTGTTTATAGTTTACTGGGCTAGTATCGCAAGCCATTAATAGCAATATGATTTTCGCTTGCTGTCAGAATGTGTCAGATATTTCTTTTATTAAAGCTTCTACACCCTGTTAGCCATTTTTTTTTTGGTTCGATCATTCTTTTTCTATTTGATTTACATTTGGATCTGCTTCCTATTTTTATTGGATGCCTGAAGATTATGAGAAACTAAAATTAATTCGCTTTTTCTCTTCCTAGTGTTCCTCAAATAGAACACGTATGAACGTATGTGTTTAAATGTTTAACCGATGACATGTAGGTATTTATTGCACTTTACAATCGAGGAAGCAGATAACCCCCAACCAACGCCAATTTTCTTGCTATAGCCTAGCCATGGTTAAAACTGTGGGCCACACACCAATTCGGCTCGTTTGGTCTTAATTTCATAAGCAGAATAACGTTTCTTAAAATGTTTTGTTTCGTTCTCACTTGTTCACTCACATACTCTTTCATATATAAACAATGCTTATGTAAAGTCTTTATTGCATTTTGTACACTTTCCGGCAAACTAACGTTGGCGATTTTCATTAAGGAAGGTCATAGGTGTAAACATCTCTTGCTTTTGAAGCAGGAAATGTTCATATTTTTTTTCTTTGAACAAGAAATGCTTTCATTTTCAAATGAATCAATTAGAAATAATTGCTATGCAGCGGCATGTAACAATCAGACTGTCATTAATAATAATATTATATCATGACTTCAATAATTTAATTATAAAAGAAAATATTTTCTAAAAAATAAAACTTTCCTACCATTTTTAAAATACATGCTTACGCATAGGGTCTTCTGAAGTGAATGTAGCTGAGGTACCTACTACGAAAAATTACTTTCAAAGTTTTTGATAGTGCAGCCCGCTTTGTGATGAGCCATAGATGATGCGACCCACTGCTCGAAAAAGATTGCCCATCCTTGCTACAGACATAAGAGAACTGTAAGAATACGATAATTGGTGTGTCCGTAGATAAATTTTTCTTTTTATTATTCTTTCATATGCAACATGTGTTTTATGGATTTATCGCCTTGCTTGGAGTGAAATGATTTTAAAAGCATAAATTCAATAATTTAATCATTAAAATTTATTCACAGGCAAACTCACGTAAAATATTAACTTTAGACGTGTTGCTCGATGACGGAAATGATATAGTGCCCGCGTCTTTATTATGTGCGGCTTAAAGTAAAAGGAAAAATCATTCAGTGTTTCAGCAAAAAAAACTTCATATTAGACAATGAAAAAAATCAGAAAAAAAAGATTTTTCAGTAGCCGTAATTTTTATAATTTATTAAATTAATTGGGTTTATAGTTCGTAACCCTGCAATGAGATGAGGTAAGATAAACCGTGGATTTGTCTGCGGGATATCATTACATTATTGTTAAATAATTATAATGAAATCATTAAGGCTTTTTGTCAAAAGCATTTTATTTTTGGTCGTATATTAATTTAAATTATTCCTTTTTTAAGGCTTTTTTTTTAATGGAATAAGATCATTCTAAATTTCAGAATTTCGTTATTGCCCATCAAAATGACTGGAAGAAATCAATCTAAAAACAACAATAGAAAATAGAGGTAACAAAGCTTAAACGAAATAGCTCCAGTTTGTTCAACTTAAGAAACTTAGTATTGAAGCCAAAATATTCTAAAATGCTGTTAGTAACAAAGGAGAAAATGAAAAATATCTAAAAACAAATCGAATATAGCATCAAAATTTGTTATTTTTATTCATTTGTTATGTAACTAAATATATAATTATCAACAATGTTTCCGTAAAACTTGATATTTCCTGTAATAAATTCTTAATAAATATTATTATTGTTATTAATTTGCTTAAGTTTTAAATAGTCCGACATTTAGAATTCCTTACAGATAACCATGAAAAGAAATCTTGATCAAAACTGCCTAAAACCTTAAACGTATTCCCGCAAAATTATGAAATGTTGAATACTTCCCTCCTCCACCGAACACATCATATATATATATATATATATATATATATATATATATATATATATAGTTTATGCAAGTTTTAGGTAATCCGTATGGGTAGATCTGAGGAGGATGATATCCAGAGAGCTCAATGTAAAATTCAGAGCATATATGTTTGAATAAAAGACAGACCACGTTAAGATTCCATGTAATAAGCTATTTCACCATAACCCCTTTAACAGGGTTCTGGATCATCAGACTTTACTTCCAAAAGCTGAAATGAAAAATGAAAAGAAATTCACATGTTTTTTTACGGACCTCATCAAGTATACGCAAAGTTAACGAAGTGAGGAAGTGAGGTGGGAGAGAGGATATGAGTGTGTCATATGTATCATTTTAGTTCCCTATTTTAACCCCAGTGTGTTGGCTGGATGTTGCTCAAATCTAACGCGTCTCGTCTCTAGGTAAAGGTGGTTAAGGGGTGAGCGATAAGGACTACATTAAGGAAGACGTTACAATAACCCCAATAAATTACACGACAGGTTTCATTCAAATTCTTAGACACTGTCAGTTCGCGTTACTTTAACGTGCATATTTGGGAGGTTAAGGTTTGATAAATATCTAAATTTTAAAACAATCTACGAAGAAATTAATTTGAAATTCGGTAGAGTTTTGGGTATTTTCTATGAAGCAGTCGATTGGAAAAATCCATAGACAGAACATTGAAAAAGTAATCCAATTTATATTTAGTACTTTTTCCACT